TGGATTTTGTTACCATCACTTTGAACTGAAGGACACAAAAGACCTCATTTATTCTGCCTTCTTCATTCCCTGCTATAAAAGCCAGGAAATGCAGTAATATGGCATTTCCAGTGCCATTTCATTCACTTTGTGCCTGAATTATTTTTATTTCCCAAGGCAAATGGAGAAGCGTGAGACAAGCGTCCGTCCTTAATTCCAAATTTCCTGCCATTGACCAGTTTAAACCATAGATCTAATGTTGTTAGGACAATATTTTCTTCTCTATGTGTCTTGCTATTGATGTTAGCCACTTAACTGTTTATTTCCTACAGCAGCTGGGAACATGGAAACATACTGAGAGGGCTGAGTCACCTCCCTGTTGTCTAATGTTAGCCTCAAAGCATGAGTACAATTTGGTAAGAACATTCTTGCCTCCAAAACCAGAAGCCCCCCGTCAGGGTGGAGCACAAACCTTCAAAGAGAAACAAGTAGCAAGGAGCACTGCCAAGCTGGGGAAGGCCAGGCAAATGGTGAGTTGGGACAAACAGACCTTAATCCTGCTAAATGGAAAGCGGATAGCCCTGAAAGGAGAGGAGCTCCTGCTACTCCGGTTGTCAGAACAGCCAGGATTTCAGCTCTTGCGAACTACCAGAGATGGCAAGGATGGGGAGAGCCACTGCCTTTATCTCCTTCCCAATTTACGCTTCCTGCTGGAGGCAAGCCCCTAGCAGCAGCCCCTGGCACTAGCCTGGGGACCCCCCATGGACTCAGCTGGGTTAATAACATCTGTCTTCCCTGGGAGCCAAGGATTTTTTGTGGAAGCGCTGCCAGAAGAGCCTAACTTTGGCTTCTCTTCCCAAACATTTGTGGAAAGGCTGCAAAGCATCTGTTAGGACCCCAAGCTGAAGAGAAGCCAAAGGCAAGCAGGGAGAGATGTCCCATCATGGCTATGGTACCGACCAGAGATACGGTGCAGCATTAGACCCTGAGTCTCCTGTGCAGGGATTGGTAGAGGCTCTTTTCTTTCCTTCCCTCCACCTTTCCAAAAATCTTCCTCCAGAAAAAAGGGGAAAGGCTAGATCCAAGAGGGCTACAGGCACCAGAGGTAAGAGCTCTAAGGTGCCTTGCAGCCCATTCCACCTTTACACCTCCCCATTGATAAGGAAGGTGCCAGCTGGGGAAGTAAGCAGGAGTGGGGGAAAAAAACAAAAACAAAAACCTTCCTATATTTTTAGGGAAATAAAACAAAGATGGAGAATATATGACTGCAGGAGGAAACCAGGTCTTAGCAAAGTGAGGTGTAATGAACAGAAAACACCAGTCCATAGGGCTCTCCACAGGGGATGGTCACAACCATAATGGAACCATCAAAAAAAATATTGTTTTCCTTACAGTAACACCTCAAGCCCAATTTACTACAAAGAGGACATAGCTGTAAAAGGGTGTGAAGTCTCTTCATCCACTGCTGCTTCCCAGGGACTGCATGAGGCCAGTTCAATTTGCACCTTTTATCACCCCATCTGCATTTCACTTGTTTGCAGGAACCCTCTCCCCAAGGCAATAAAACCAAAATTACTGCAGAAAGCAGGCCATGGAAACAGCTCACATGGAATTCCGAGGGGCTTTCCTGGGCAAGAGCTGCCAAAAAACATCATTGAACCCCTCTGCCCTGGCTATCCAGGAGCCTCTGGTCCCACTAGCACCTTTCACATAGTACCAGGTGCCCAGTCACTGCGCTGAAGGGGTACAAGCTGAGCTCGCCCATTTCTACGGGTGCCCTCACCCCAATGCATTTCCTTTCACCTCCACTTTAAAGCCCTATCTTGATAGGGGCCTGGGAGCTGATCCCACAGAGGAAGACCAGCTCTGCCCGATTTTTCAGCTTGCAAGCTTTTCCCCAGCTTGGCTGCTTGCTCCTGTCATGGAAATAAAGACTGATTCTCCAAATTACAACCCATTTTACGGCCTAACTATGAGAACAGCAAGCCCATCTCTTCATTTTTTTCCATTGTTTTTTCCCCTCTGTTTCTGGGAAATGAGGGTCCAACACTGCTCCCTGCCTCTCTGTCACTGCAGCACTGCTGAGGATGAGAATTACCTCAAGGAGGTGGTGCAGGCACCAGCTAAGATACACAGCACTTGTGTGGAATGGCAGCAACAGGGGAAATCAAGATGTTCCTAGGGGGAGGGAGTGATATGGGAGGATATTTAGGTGCCTATGTTCAGAACCACACGCAGGCAAGATCCTTGCTGCTATTGACCCCCAGTTCACTCCAACCTGCCAAGGGCATCCTTGCTCATCATCTGCATAGCTCTTTATAGGCAAAAAATTGGAAACGCAGGCAGTCCTGCTTTGTGGGCTGATAATTGCTCTGAGCTGATAAACTGTAGCTCTTTGGGCTGTTGTGACCTGCTGAGCACCCCCTCCCTGACCCAGCACTTCTCTTCCACTGAGCTTTGCTTTCAGGAAAAATTAGGCTTTGTTTCAAGCAAACCTGGGCTGAGCTTCAAGTGAGCCTGAGCCAACTCCTAATTTATGCCATCAGCGTATTGTTTGGGGTCAAAACCATAAGACACATGGAAGCTTTGCCTCGTTTTTGCTCCAACCTGAAACACATCTGAGACATCCTGGCTACAGCTTGTGGCCAGCAGTCTTCTGGATCACAGCACAGGACTTGTTGGGAGCAAAAGGAGGCCAGGCTGGAGCGAAGGGTTAATGCACAGAGTCTCAAGTCCAGCACAGGCAGTTATTTCAGGGTTACACTCCTGAGTGATAAATTATCAAAATACAAACCTCAGACTTCACAGGGAAGATGCTGTTACTCTTAATTAGGTAGAGCTGCATCTTAACAGGTAACCCTTTGGCTGCAGAGGCGCTACACATAAGGTGATGTGGGAAATAGGTTTCTGGAAGCTGCTAGAAGCAACATGGCTAGATTTCACACCTAGTTAGCAGGGTACAGGGTAGGGCATGAAGGGTCGGGCTCAATTAGGAAGATGCTTGTTTAGTAAGATACAGTTATTCCCTGGAGTGTCCTTAACAGATGCTGGAGCACCATGGGGTCATCATACACGCCTGTCACTCTGCAGGCATAAGGCACTTTGCCCCATCCTCTCTCCTCCCAGCCCCTCTTGAAACATCATGCCTATCTGGGTCACTTTTTCCAGTTGCACTGGGCATGAAGGCCAGAAAAGCCATTGACCTATTTCCATAGCAAGGCAGGCATCACAGGCCAGGGGTACACATCCAGAGCCACTCTGCTCCCCACACGTTGGCTGAGACTACTTGCATAACGTCACCACTGGTTGCCAGAAAGATTCACAATGCAGGAAAAGATCTCTCACCACATAACAGATCTGCTGGGCGAAGAGCAGGAAGGCAGATCTTCTCCTTTGGATCTCTAATCCAGTCCTATAAAACTCACAGAGAATCATTTCAGCAGGTTAGAGCTTTGCACCACAATAAAAAAAAAACAAACCTCACCTTAAATTAGCAAGGTGAGTGGTAAATCAAAGCAACACTGAGGTACCTAGATGGGAAGCTCACCCCCATTCCCATGAGTTTTAGCAGCAGCATGGGTGGAAAAGTTGACCAGCTTTCATCAAGAGCATCTACCCAATGGAAAAATTCCCATGTATAAGCCACCTTCTGACAGCACCAACACAAGAGACAAACCATGATCTGTGGTGGAAAGTGGAGAATTTGTATTTGCTTCAATGGCAAACACTGGCCTCAAAGCAGCCATATAGGTGATGGCACGGAGGTCATCAACTCAGTGGAAGAGTACAAAGGAACACAGCTCTTCTCTGTGAATTTTGCTTTTCTCTGAGAAAGTTTAGTCTTGCTGGGAGGCTGCATTTATATTGTGGCTGAAGGAATCACTCCAAACTGGAGACCAGTAAGTTAAACAATCTCTCCAGCTTGTCTTTGTGCTACTAACATGTTCCACAGCGCTTCAATAGTTTGGGCAATAGTGGAGCTGTGTGTTATGTATTATTTCTGGCCATCTGGAACAAGCATTAACCACAAATAAGCAAATTTGCTTGTTCTTTACTGCAAAGAAAGAGCCTTGCCAGAGCAATGCTCATTTCCACTGATGACAGATGTTTCGGGCATGCTTGGGTATACCCTCCTCCATCCTGAGGAACAGCCAAGTCTTACGAGCTGAGATCCTGAAAAACTAGAAAGAGAGAAGAAAATAACAATAATAATAAAGAAGAAAACCCAACCTGTTAAGTTGACTCAGGTTTACATTTTCCCTGGGTTTTTAACCCAGTATCCCTGTAGAAAGAAACTCCTTTCTGCCCTGCCAATTTTTGCAACCCTGGGCAGCTTGCAGGCGAAGCAAAGCAAGCTGCCCAGGATGACTGCATGGTTGAGAATGGAGGAGCCCCTAGAGGCAGGGCCCCCATGGATTGTCTGAACAGGTGCTTGGAAAAGCCCTCAAATCTGGGGATTACAAACTTCCTAAAGCGCCAGACTCGTGTTCTCCATATCCATGCACACATTTTCTTCCCCTCCCTCTTATACACATACTCGCAGGCTGCTGCTGTCTTACTTTCAACCTCCCACATGAGCCAGAGGGACAAAATGAAATCAATAAATAACCACTGTTAGCTCCTGCATTTTCAAAGTAGTGCACAGGGATTTGAGTACATGTAACTTCCATTAACCTCATTTAGAGTCAAAAACTTAACAGTTTGGCCACTGCTCTGAGAGACCTGAGACTTTGCAGCAAGCCACTGGTTCTGGTAAACCCTCACCGTTTCTTTGCCCAGACCAAGGCTGGGGTTTTGGGTCCTTTTCTTTTTTTCCAAAGAAGCTGCTGCCATCCTGAAGTTCTCATTTCCCCCTTACCATTTTCAAATGCTGGGGTTATTCAGAGGGGCTGTGCAATCCAGGACCATCACGTGCCCATATGTCAGGACTTCAAGCAGCAGGCTCCCAAAGCCCTCCTGTACTTCACTGCTGACCTATGTGCTCTTGGAAGGTGCATCCCTTGCAGAAGCTGCCCTGAGAAAGCAGGTGCCAGGAGCTCCTGGCTCAGTGCAGGAGAGGTTTTAGGTGCAGACTGCTTTCTCTTTCCAGGCTTGTACATATGCATGTTTACTTCTTGATGACTGCAGAAGCAAGCAAGAAAATAAAACCCAACAGGAGATTGAGGCCACTCCACTGGTGCTCAGGATCCTCTGGGACACTGCATCATCGGCACTGCTTTCCCACAAGCCGGGAGGCAAGCAAACATATAGGCACATGAGCCTTGCAGCACAGCTTCTGGAGAGCACATCCTCTCCATTATTCCACAAATCCAGAGAACTACCATGAAGAGCCATAAGACAACACAATGCTGACAGGAAGCATTGCCACCCAGAGCAGGAGAGCAGAGAGCTGTATCCCACAAAGCTTTGGCAATCAAGATAACACTGCTTCATCCCAGTGTTACAGGCATTCATCATTTCTTTGATAAACAGCCCTTTACCAGGTAAAAACCAAGAGCTCACTTCCTGCAGGAATTGCTACAGCCTGAGAACAATGGATTTCTTATTTTTGTATTTTTCCATCCTGGATAGGCAACAGATGTAATTAGCAAATTAAAGCAATTGCAGACTTCTTTGCCTTTGCTCTGAGTGGCACCAAACAGCTCTCCAAAATACAGTGCAATAGCACATTGCTGCACACTTACACCCTGATCAGCCTAGACGTTTGACTGTGTATTTAAAGAAGCTTTAGAAGACAGGGCAATTGCCCTCCTTTAGGAAATCCTTTTCAGGAACACTAATTTCTAATTGGGGTTGGGCACAGCAGAAAGCATCCATCTGTAGGAAAGGGCCTTCAAAACACTCAGCAACAATTTTAGGAGGCAAGTGAATTGTTGCAGGGTTTTCCTTTACAATCATTTTGTCTTACTACCAACTGGAAAGAGGACCAAAAAAAAAAAAAACCAAACCCCCCCCCCCCAAAAAAAAAAGATGGATTTATTTTTTTCTTAATAAAAAAGGACCTTGCACATATAAGTTTCATGTAACCAAAAGCCTCACTTCAGGTAAAGACACTTCCATAAGCTTTCGCTTCCTATGGAAAAAAAAAAAAAACAACACATGTGTAACACTTTCACCAAAACAATTTTAAACAAATGCCTTTTGTTTAAAGAAATTCAGCTGCCTCTAGAGCAGTTTAGCACATGTAAAGAAAGCATGCATGCTGCTAGCAGAGAGGCTTTTCCATCAGCGCAGTTGCAAGACTTTCATATTAAAAAGTGCACCTATGGGCTCTTTTCCTCAGCATCACCAGTGTGGGTAATGAATCCATGAACTAAGTGGAGAAAACATCGTTATGTTGTACATTAGCTAAAATAAAATAAGCAAAGATCAGTTTTGTTCAATGAATGACTTCGGCTACATTTAAGCCAAGCTTTCAGGTCACACCTGGAGACTAGTGAACCCGCCCCAAAAAGCTGTATTTGTATACATGGATACACTTCCACACACCTGCTCATAAAAGAACAAGTCCATCTACGCAGAACAGAGCCACTGGCACAGGAAGATACATGCTGTCGCACACAGCTGTGGAGCACTGGAAGTCATGAAAACCCATTTACTACATCCTCAAACACCTGGCTTGAACTCTGATGTCTGATACAAGCTGTGCTCACACACAGCCTTTCCCTCAAGCAGAACACAGAAAGATCTCTTCTATCCTTTTTGCAAGAACACCTACTTTCCCAAACCCTAAGAATATTGAAAACCCCTGGGGATTTCTCCCTCCCTGCCCTCAGTTCAGGCTGAAGCTGGCCAGTGGGGAGGGCACATCAGAGGCCTGTGCACAGAAACACTGCTCTCATATCCAGCTTCATTACTTCAATCTGGCTGAACCCATCAGCAGACACAACTGTGCGTAAATACCAAGTCTCTGATCGATTACACACCTATATCCAGGAATGGAGTGGTATAAATGACAGTAGAAAACTACCTGTGCTGCAGGAGCACAGGTGAGGTCTGCCTAGAGGCACACACAAGTGTCCCCTATACACCTGTCTCACCATCAGCCTTCCCCTAACATAGCTTGCTCTCTGCCACCCTAAAAATAGGCAGCTAGCCGACAGCTGATCATCACACAAAAGACCCTCCATATCCCTGGAATTTCACATGGTCAACAGGGGAGCAGCCCTACTTTGTGCTCCCAGCCCTAAATACTCCTGACAGCCTGTCTGTCCTTCGCTATCACTGCAGCATCCTCACAGCTGAGCTCACTGCAAGCGCCAGCAGCCCCACACATGCCTCTCCCCATAGCTTGCCTCTGAGAAAGCTGGTGTGGATTTACACTGGCATATACAAACATGGGCTTTTGTTATTCTTACAGGCCGGGCTGATTTTCAATCATTCCAATTTTGTGACGGGTCTTTCTACTCATTACCTTTGCTCAGGATAAATCTGTTAAGTTCACCCCATTTTCATCAAGTCTTTATTGTGGTGCTTTACAGTATCCACGCAAGCTTCTCGGGGCAGGACATGCACATTGTGAGAGCCAAAGCCTGCCAACCCCAGCAGCTAATTATGAAATGAAGACAGACCCCAAAATGCACAAAGCTGCCTGAAAGGCACCAGAAAAGTGCTGTCACAATTAATGCTGTGAGAATTATGATGGTTTTGAAAACAGCCAGCAAGCTTGGAGAGGACATTCTGCCTACTGATGCATCACCCTTGGTATCTTACAAAACAATACCCCTGTACCCTTGGTGCTGCTATGGCAAACATTATTGCAACAACCCATCATGTGTGTACCATCATTAGGCTGTTTTGTTTTTCCCACACTGAGAGGAGATGGGAAGTAGAAGAAAATGGAGCATCTGAGGACAGCAGCTCCTCAGGAGACAGCACAGCCCAGAGAGGGGAAAAATAGGAAACCAAAAGCCCAAGCAAGACTGCCCAGCATGACCAATAGGGAGGAGGATAAGTGAGGCACTCTCCTCCCCAAAGCCCAGGCATCCTGCAGGAGCAGCAGTTAGGCCTGGATAAGGCCAGACCTGAGGCAGCACATGGCAGATGTCACCATAAATTACCAGGGACAAAGCCAGGACAAGCAGGGCACCTTTTTAGGACAGCAACAGCCTTTTGTAGAAGTCTGGTCAGTCAAGGCAGGAGCCAATGGCTCCAGGCTCTGGCGGGGGTTAGCAGATCTTGGGTCCATCCAAATGCCACCTGCTATGGCCAGTCAGCGCCACAGAGCAAGCCCACTGCAGAGGGACAGAGGTCCATAACAGACTGATAAGTGCCTTATCTTGTCATTACATTATCCATATGTGCTTAAATCCTGGAGCAGAATTTGCTGGCTGGGTGCAGCTCCCCAGCTGCATTTCCCTCCTCACGCCTGCCAGGCTGGGCAGCAGGAAGGTGTGAGCACTGCTCTGAGCCAGATCTCTTTGTTGTCTATTTATACCCTGCCCTCTGGAAGCAGCTCACTAGCGGCTGTCACTTGGCATCTTATCTCTCCTTACTTTGCAAACTGTCTCCTGGCAGCCCCATTGCACCCCTGCCACCACTTGGGAGGCTGCTCCCTTCCCACTCACTTTTCTTTTAAAAAGAGAAGCATCGTAAGCACCCAGCTTGCACTGTTTGGTTAAAAAGCAGGGCTTTACTCTTCTTTCAGAGGAATAAGGACCTGCCTGTAATCCCAAGTCCTAACCATTACCTTAATTTTGCCCCTGGCATGCAGAAGTTGATGCCTCCTGCTACACAGCTGGGTACCTGAGACAGGGGCTGAATAACATTCATCACAAAGAACTGTAACAGTCCCTTCTTATGTAGCCCTAAATCTCAAAGCCCTTTAAAAGAATTTCTATATCATTATCCTCATTTTACAAGAGGGAAAACAGGCACAGAAGAATTAAACAACTGCACATGTAAATCCAAAAGCTGTGGTCCTAAAGCCTTTGAGCTTGTAAGACATCAGAGCATCAGAACAAGTGACTGACCCATGAATGCATGTAGTACTTACTTCCCTTTGTGTCCCTCTCAGTCAGTATTTGAGGATATTCTCTTCACATCTGCAGGGGCTTAAAAAAAAATAAATCATATTCACCAACCATGAGACTGGTATTTGGATCAGTCCAGAGAAAATTTTCCATTAAACTATCTTCCCACAGGGCCTTCTCCTCCCACACATGTAGGGCAGAGGGAATGGAAGAACCACCTCTCACTGGGTCTTTCCAAAAGACTACCATAGGTAGCACTGCAAGCTCTGATGCAAATGCAGATGCAGATAACTCTTACCCCTTTACCTGAGTGTGTCTCTGAAGCCAGGACACACACAGGCCAGGTCTAGTGGTTAAGATTTGGCGCTCTCACCACAGCAGCCCAGGTCTGATTCCCGGTCAGGGAAGATGACTTTTCCAGTATATAAACCGGGGGGGAGTTACCCAGAAGGGTTAGATCACTACTCAGGTCGGGCTGGGTATCGGTCAGCAGGTGGTGAGCAGTTGTATTCTCTCTCCTTGTTATTTCCCTTATCATTATCATTGTTGGTGGTAGCAGCAGTGGGTTTGTGTTATACCTTAGTTACTGGACTGTTCTTATCTCAACCTGTGGGAGTTACATTCGTTCCTTTCTCCTCCCCATCCCTCTGGGAGGGGGGCAAGCATCGACATGGTTTCTGGGTTGCTGGTGGGGTTTAAACACAACAGGGACTCAGGGCCACATCTCCTCCAGGGCCACCTCTGGGGTGTGACAGAAGCTGCAAAAGCTAAGGCTGGAAAAGGTGCAAGAGGATACTCACCCCTGAGCAGTGGCTGGTGAGACCTTCTTCACGTAGGGCGAAGAGCCCAGTCCCACATGGAGACATGGCCCAGGGAAGGACCATGGTGTACCCAGCAAGGATGCTCTGGTCACCCTGCTGAGAACCAACCCTCTGTTAATCCCCATTTTGCCCCAGTATGGGGCAGCAGACAGACAGACAGACAACAGGACTGACAGAGGGTTTTTGGAGCAGTGCATGTCTCTGCAGCCAAGGGAGCTTCCAGCTGTCTCTGGAGCTGCTTGCAAAATCACACCACCCCAAAGTGTCAGCTGGGGCTGGGGGAGCCCTCCCTCCCTTGTGCTTAGTGCACAGTCAACTGCTAGGGGCA